CACATGTGCGCACACACGCCCATGCACGAGCACATCCTCCTTCGCCTCCTCCCTCTTTGATTCCTGTCCCTTTGTTCCTTTTCTCGAAGTGCTCTTTAGGAAGTATCCTTCCGGTATCAGATTTGTTCTGCTATTTTGGAAAATACATTCGAAGGTCGTGGCTGCCTGTGGCATCAGTAACAAGAGCCCTGCTCTTAGCCAAAGCCTCTCCTTCCCCTACTGTGTGAGAGAAGAGTGGCCCTGGAGTGACAGGGCTCAGCTGCTGGGTGCAGAATTGGGTCCTGTGGGAGGCCCTGCTCTGCTGAGCCATCTCGCTGTGGCAGGGCGAGTGCGGGGTGGGTGGGGCTGGGGGACAGTGATACTATGTGGCCTTTCTCGTGTTCTGGTCATGACCAGAAGCTCATCTCGGCCTCCCTGCCCTGAGTGCTTCAAGAGTGCTGTACCAGTTTCAGGGACACATTGAAATTTTAAGGTCTCAGGTGAGTCCACGTCCTTAGAACATCCCATTTACCCTCTTTAGATTGGGGGGCCCTGAATACGAGGCTGATCTTAAGGCCAAGCAGGAGAAGAATCTAGGTTGGACTGAGAAGAGCAGGCACTGACTGTTAGCTCCCCTTGGGCAGGTTCCCCGGAGGGATCCATCACTGGTAGAATGGAATGTTGTTAGGCAGCGTGACAGTCCAGGGACACACTGACACAATCCTGTGTGTGCACATGAACAGTCAGCCCTCAGTCCGTGTTAGCTGCCCTCCTACAGATGCTGTGGACGTCAGACCCCGCCTCCTAGGTCACCAAGCCCCGTCTGTGGGCACATGTGCCTTGGGGGTGGGGGGCACTCCTGATCTAAACTGTAACACACCTGTCTTCCCGAGGGCACACATTTTAAAAATAGTTGTTAAGGTGTACAGGGTGTTGGCCAAGAAAAGTTACTGAAATCCTAAACTCGTTGAAAAAAACCATAACTAATGGGTATCTTTGAGTTATTTTTTGGATGTGCCAAATACGCCTAATGGAGCATTAGAGGTTCAGTATCGCTGCGTCAGGAATTGGACTTTCTGATGACACGGGATACGGCAGCTGAACATTTTCCTGCAGAGGTTGCTCAAGGAATTGCCTTCAGAAAAGGCAGTGCCCTTTAAAACATTTGGAGCGCATGCTGTGTGCACAAGATGCTGGGCTCCGTGCCTCGCAATGCCCCCTCTCCCCAAAATAGACGCCCTGAACCTCTGGGACTGTCCTGTTGGTTCCTAGCAGCAGCCTGGGTCAAATGTCAGTATCTGTGGGAAGCGGTGTTATTCTTCCAGAATTATAAGCAGTTGAGATCATTTTATTTGAGTTTGGTTTTTTTGCATTTTTTCTCCACTTGTCCTCTTCCAGGGCCTCTGGAATCAGGTAGGAGGCAGGTGATGGCACCTTTATGCCATTCAGTGGTGCGGGTGCCTGGTACAGGGCTGGATACCTACCCACAGGAGTTGCCTGTTGGCCAAGAGGTGGAGTAAGAAACCTAGAAAATCCTACCAGTTCATGACAAACCTCTAAATGATTCCATATTTGAATAGGCATCTGTGTAGTCAAAAATTAATGCTGTCAATTGACTTACAGATTTTAAAAGCACTCGAATGTACAAAAGACAGTTTTTATAGCCTCGATGTTTCGTAAACTTCGGTAAAATAAACAAAGGAGTTGGCATGGTGATGCGCGGTAACTGTCACACTGATCTTTGGGTACAGAATGCTGTTCTGCCTAGAGAAGACTTTGGCCACTATCATCCTATGCCACAAGGTGTCACTGCAGAGCAAAATTTTAAAAACTCATTCCCTGAGAGGACCTCAGCACTGAATGGTAGGGTTGATTCTGTGCTAGCATTCACAGTGGGTTTTCATCAGAAGTCTGGGTTTACCAGTGAGCACGGTCACCAAACTGTTCATGAAAACTTACGTCCAGTAGGCCACCTGCAATAAGCTCTTGGATGGGAGAGGTTTTCAGTAAACATGGAGAAAGCTGCGTGCTAGTGAGGCAAGACCCAGCCCCCAGCAGACAGAGGAGCTGGCGTTCCTGCAGGTCTTCTGATGGCCCGGTGCGTCTGCTGTGTGTGTGCTGGAGATGCTGGGTAGATGGTGTCACCCGTTCTGTAAGACTGTTGGAAAGCACCAGTGAAACGAGGCAGGCAGTCACCAAGGAAAAGGCCCTGGGACATGGTATCATTGTGCACCTCTCGCCTTTCGTGGCTGAGCCCGGCTCCCCCAGGATGCTGTTTTCCCATGGGGAGCTCCCCCTAGAGCAGGTGAAAAGCCTCCCATGAAGTGCCGCTTCCCAGGAGAGTTCCGTCTGCCACACCATCTCCGAGTCCCTTGGGTGGGCCATCTGGACCATCCCTTGTTGGGTCACAAATTCCAAGTGACTCTGACCAGGTTAGGTACACAGGACTTGGCTTCCTCTCTCCATTGCTGGATGTGACGAGTGTCCACGTTGGCAGGTGACCTGCTTTACCCTGGGGGAGGGGTGCGAATGTCCAGATTCAAATTCAAGGCCGACTTTGGGCCATTGCTACACATTGGCCACCAAAATAATAGTAATAATAATAATGAAAAAAATTTCAGGAAGGGCAGAACAGGCAGCCAGGAAACAAATGCAGTTGTTCGGCCCAGCTAGATTGAAGCCGTTTGGGGTCCCTGCTAAGAAGCTTCTTTGGACCCTAATTGGTTTTTCGGTACCAGATTCCAACATTAGTGCTGTTTGCTTTAAGGGCAGAAGGATGTAACTATATCTAGGTTCTTTCTTTGATTAAAAAATATCTTTGAGCCTTGAAACAGTGCAACTGCCCAGAAAATACTCATCCAAACTCTTCACAGAAGGAGCATGTCTAATCTAATTGCAGTGCTGGCTTCTATGACATGCTTCTTACAGTTGACAGTGTTCATGATATTCGTGTTATTTTTCAGCATAGGCTGTTTTCTGCATCCTTCAGAGTGGGAACGTTATTTCTGCTGGAATTTTTCATTTATGGAAGTTCTACTGTAGAAGCCAACTAGGGCACCCATGAACATGTAATCATTTTATTTAGGTATCTATTATTACCTTCTTAGTTTTTTCTGCTTTTGGTTCTTTTCTCTCTCAATTGGTATTTTTTTCTTTTACCTGTCATACTCTATTTTTTCCACTAATTAAAAATAATCTAGAAGCAGACATAGTGGTGCATGCCTGTAATCCCAGCACTCAGGAGGCTGAGGCAGGAGGGTTGCTGTGAGTGCCAGGCCAGCCTGGGCTACATAGTTCAAGCTCAGCCTGAACAGCTTAGTGAGACTCTTATCTCAAAAAAAAAAAAAAAACCCCGAGAAAAAATAGTTAACATTTAGGCCTGGGCCATTTATTTTTCTGAGCTACTTACCCTTTGTTACGCTGTAGGACATGTAGTCATCCTATTCTTTATTATGTATCATTTTAACAGCAATTTGTTTCATTTTGTCACCTTGGAGTCTCTAATGTTCCTTACTATCACAGTGTTTCTAAAAATTAGAATATTTACAGATCCTCCCAAAGGTGGTCTTAGCAGATCTTAAAATGCCAGCTTTATTAATTGTTGTGTATATGGTCCATGCAGTCAGCTCTCTTTAGGTTCTGCATCTACGTATCCATCAAATTATGTCTTGAAAACTTTTGGGAAAAACATAGTTTAAAAAATAGTATATAGAATATTATATTGTGATTAAAAGGCAAGAAAAAGCTTGAGCAGGAAAAGGATTTAAAAATCTGTAGATGGTGTTGAAATTTGACACTCAGGAGCTAGATGGGAGGCTGCGCATGTGTGGGGTCTGCAGGAAGGAGCGTCAGACGTGTAGGTCTGGAGACAACATGCTTGAGGTATCTGGGGGCCTGCGGGGAGCCAGGGCAGACGTGCAGGGAAGGGCCACGTGGCTCCCTGATATTTTCTGACCTCACTGTACAACTCAGATGTAGTCACACACGGTGTTCATTGCGTGGATTCTTGAAACTGGATTCCAGGATCTACACAAAAACCAGTAGTGACTCAGGGTAAGTGAAGAATGGCAGAGATGTCAGAACCTCACACTTCGGGGTCTGGAGATGGGTAGAGAGAGTGCTTTAGGTGTGAGGAATAGAACGGGGTGGGCTTTGAGATGGAGGGTTGCCAGCCAGTTGCTTGGCTGCTTGCAAGAGCTCAGGCAATTGAGAGATTTGGCAGGTGATGGTTGAAGGCGTGGAACTGTGGAGCTCCTCCAGGGAGCTCCAGGGCCCTTGGGCAGGGCCCTGGTATGGGCAGGTGGACAGAAGGGAAGATGCATACCTCAGGCTTTGATGATGGAGTGGAAGCAGACACTGAATAGAAACGGGAATGGAGCTGATGCTCTGTTAACCCTGGGGTGCTGTTGATAAGACCGGGAGGGCTCAGTTGGGGAAAGCACATGTGTGGGGCAAAAGTGAGCTTTGGAATGGGAAATATTTAGCAGGGTGCTGTGTTTGAGTCTCATTGGCAGAAGATGTCAAAGTCCCCACAGCTGGTGAGGACAAGTGGTCCTAGTAACCCATCCCTCAGAGCAGGGCAACAGTTCCCCTGTCACCACCAGGGGGCACCTTCTGAGTGCGACCGAAGGTCTCCCAAGGCCCTATGACTGGTAACCGAAGTGCTTTGCCAGCTAGCCTGGAGCTCTGGGAGTGCTTTTGAGGTCCATCTTTACAGTTTTATTAGAACACTCTGTCTAGCTAGCAGGTCTCTCTGTACCTTGATAAACAGTGCTTCTAAATGTATCTGATCTCATCAAAGGGGTGCCTGTCCCCGTGTGTCCCCCTTCAGGCATCAGTAGAGTTGACGCTTTGATGCTTTGGCTGGACACGCTGATGCCCAAGCAATGAGCAGTTAGTAACAGGCAGGGGATGAGTTCCCCTCGGGGGTGTCCAGCTTAGATATTAACTGGCAAACAGAGATACATACATGACCAAGGGAGAGCATGCAGGGTCATCTGTGTGCTGTGTTTGCTCACTAGATGCACCAGAATGGAGTTTTGCTAAAGCCAAACAATCAAGATTGGAAGCTGGTGATGTTCCAGGATCCTCCGGCTTGGCAGGTAAAAATCTCATCCCCACGCTGCAGCTGAAGCAGATTTGGGACCAATGTGTTGGCACAGAATGTACCTTGTAGGAGTTACATTTTTAAGGCCATGGTAGCTGCAGAAGCCTGAAAGCTAAGCACTTTGTTCTTAGAGACAAATACTTTGTTGCACAAATTACAGTTAAAGACAAGCACGACCCTTTCCTAGCTTTTTTTTTTTTTTTTTTTTTTTTTTTTTTTTGGTCTTTTTAGAGACAGAGACTCACTGTGTAGCCCAGGCTGGCCTTGAACTCACTATGTAGCCCAGGCAGGCCTGGAACTCAAAGTGATCCTCCTGCCTCAGCCCTCCCAAGTGCTGGGATTATAGGCCCCGGGCCACCATGCCTGGCTCTCTACTGGCATTTTGATTTCTGCCCCTTACATCTTTTTTTCTGGCAGATTTCAGGGTCTGAGGCTTCCTAAAGTAGTAAGTCTCTGCTTCGGCTGGCAGTTAACTAAATTTTTTGTTAGAAAAATCTAATGTATACCAATTAGAGAGTAATCTAGAACGTCTACATATGTGGGGTTCTAGACAAATGGCACCATGCACTTTGAAACAAACACCTCTAAAAAGAGAAAGTCACACATCAGGGGCCCCAAAGGGCAGTGGTTTGAATCTTGAAGTTGCTGGTCTGAGCCTAAACAAGGTACGTGATTCCAGTCCAGTGTGGATCCCAGCAGAACCCAGTACATGTGGGTTTTGAAGAGTTTTTATTTTTTGGCCCTGGGAATCGAACTCAGGACCTCATGCTTGCCAGGCAGGCGCTGTGTGCTAAGCTGTATCCCCGGCTTCATGTGGGTTTTTATAGGGAGTGCATGTGAGTCCTCTGGAACAGAGCTAGATCCCGCTAAACCCTCATAAGACTGGTACCCAAATGTGTTCAGCCAGCTTGACCCCCACAGACAGGCCCCAACTATTGTGTCCTCCAGCACACTTCCCAGGACACCTTAGTAATAACATCTGTTGCTCTGATTTGAAGTTCTTGGAAGGTTTGGGTGAGTGAGCAGTGGCCAGAGTGAGAGTGGTCAGAGCCTCATCGGGCACCTGCTGTCTCTCACATGAGCTGACCTTGTGTGTGATCACGGTCGAGGTCATGGTCCCGGCCAGACAGGCTGCAGAATCGCAGCCAGGCAACCGTTGGGGCATCTGTGGTTCATGTTTGTGCTCCTGACAAAGTGTGCCAGCATCTGGGCAGCAGGTGGCCCGAGCACAGCTGCTCCAAGCGTTTCTGAATTTCATTTAATATTTTATTTTTGTTTGACATTTCTACTCCATATCTAGGCGATGTGCCAGAGAACTTAGAAGTTTCTGCCATTGTCGCAGCCTTGGAAAACTGCACTGGGGCACTGAAAAGGAAATATGAGGTAAGTCACCTGCAGAAAAGTGAAAACCTCGTTAAGAGGCTGGAGGACAGTATGCGAAGTGAAACGATCCGGACGCAGACTGCATGAACTCGCTTACAGGGGGACTCTGAAAAAGCAGGGAGCAGAAGGGGGTTACCGGGGTAGAAAGGAGTGAGGGGAATGGGTGGGCGTTGATCAAGGACGCCAACCTGTAGTCCCAAAGTGAGTGCGTTCTAGAGACTCAGCAGGCTGTGCGGTGGCCTGGTTAATGACAATGTACGTTTGGAAATTTCAAGGAGAGTGGACTTTTAGTGTTCTTACCCCACACAGGAAAGGTCACTGTGCGAGGGGATCGATAGGTTAATTGATTTGATGTGGCGATCACTTTATAATATGTACATACAACAGAGCGTCACATGTACCCCTTGAGTATAATTAGCTTTAATTTGTCAGTGATAACTCAGCAAAGCTAAAAAAAAGGCAAACATAGCTTACTTTACCCATCAATTCTGTTGTTTGTAGGTGAGCTGCTCCTGAGTCTCTAGGGAGGTATAATTGGGCCAGCCGTGGTCTTGGATTTTAGCCCCTTTGAGACTGTGGTTTGTATTCAGAGACCGCTGTGTCCACAACTGTTTGCCCAGCGGGACCAAATATGTGGAAACCATACTCGTGGTTTGGTGTCATTGGTAGCCTTTCCAGACAACTGTGCTACCCGGAAGCAATGTTTTGGTCATTGTGATAGACGAGGAGGTGAGGACAGAGGTAACCATGTGGAGAAATTAGGATTCTGAGACAGAGGGAGAGGTGTAGATACCACGGCCTTTGCGTTGTCCAAGTGGCGCAGAGTTTTGAGACACGGGATTCACAGTCTTGGAGCCTTGTCGCTGAGGTGGGTGTTGAAACCATGTTAGTTCCCTGGTTTTTGTCTTGGTATTTATAAAACCACAGTGACTACTTTACTTGCTTAGAAGCATACTCAAAGCAGCATTTATTAAACTACCTTGGAAGACTTCCCAAATCTTTATTTTCTGCAATATTCATGTGGGTCAATTTATAATGGAAACACGCCCACAGCGTCGATATGTGTATCCACAGCATGAATATATGCTTTCCTGTTTTCACCTGTTACTCTTTATTAGTATCAAACAAGGTGATACCTGGGCGGTATGTAGAATGGAGCTTTATCATAGATTTTTAGCAGTAACGTTTGCTGTGAATGTCACTCACAGTAGCAGCAGCAGATTCCAATACGAATCATATGCTCAATTTATGTAGTTATGTCCAACCCCAATGTTATCATTCTGTTTTTACCCTTTAGCTTAGTTACAGAGAGAGTCCAGTTCATTCAAACGTGGCAAAGAAAGCACCCGACTGCCTACTGAAACTTCTAAGCCAGATACACCTGCACAGGTAACTATCAAAACACATTCCTGGAAGAGTAATCACTCACAAACCTTTATCACCTGACAGTTCTGCTGGGGCCTGAGAAACTGAAGCCTGAGAAGATGTGAGATTCGATAGATTGCTTCACCTTTCAGGGTTTCCAGTTCTTTATTCATAGGATGAAGGGTTGGAGTAAGTGTATTCCTTAACCATCTCCCTGGTCTACCATTGTTATCATCCAACATAGTCTTTAAAAGTTTATGATCCACTTGTAAAGTCAGGGCACACGTGGGTAAATACGGAAGCAGAAACAATGAATAGAATAGATTTAGAACATTGTGAATGTACTCGGGGCCAATTAATTGCACCTAAAATGGTCAAAAAGGTAAATTTTATTTTTAATTATAACATAAGAAAATACACATGCATATCCCCTCCTTGTGACTATATAGCATGAAGTACCAGGGTCCTCACATTTCAGACAGATGTGCAGAACGCGAAACGGGAGTAGAGGGCTAAATTTCTGTAATGAGTAATCCAGAAAGATTACAGTGCAAGTCCTTGAGTGAGGCTTTGGAAATGAAGATTTGAGTGGTGCAGGGAAGGTGAACGGAGAGATTGTTCCTATTGGAGAGATTAAGGAAGAGAGAGCTAGTCACTTCTGAGGGTAGCATATATTATTTGAGCATAAATTTGTGATAGCTTTCAAACTCATGTAGACATGTAGTATCACTCGACTGTCCAGACAAGCCCATGAGGGACTTTGTTTCCTTATGTCTCAGGTTTCCGCCTATGCATGTATTCATCCAGCAGATGCACACCAAGGGACACTAGGTGCCAGACTGCTCAGCGCAGTGGGTTGGTCAACTTCTTGTCACTGCAGCAACTAGCTGAGACAATCCACTTACAAAGGGAAAGCGTTTACTGTGGCTTTTGATTTTGGAAGTTTTAGTCCAAGAGCCATTGATCCCATTGCTTTAGGACATGGCAGGGCAGCACGGTGTGGCAGGCACACATGCATGATGGAGCAAAATCACTCACTTCAAAACCAGGCAGTAAAAAAGTGGAGTCCAGGTCCCCTTGTCTTCCTGAGGAAATGCCCCAGTGAGCTGACCTCCTCCCCTAGCACTCCCTAAAGGTTTTACAGCCTCCTAGTGGTACCACTTTGAGTACCAACCCTTGAACATAGGCCTTTGGGGGATGCTCAGCATGCAGACTATAGCTGTAAATGTGTGGGAGCTCTGGTCTTCAGGGAATGCGTGGCCCAGTGAAGAAAGACCTTAGGCAGACGAGCAACTTCCATAACTGTCATCAATGTTGGAATTAAAACATGGATGTGGAAAAACGGCACAGTCCATTCTTGACCACAGCTTAGGACCAGACAAAGGAGAGAATAAAGAAGAACTTGGAATCTCTTCATCTCCTCTTTCATCTGCCCTGTTTTCTCCCAAGAATCATGTTCCAACACCAGCTTCCCGTGAGCTGCTGTTGCAGGCTGGATGAGAGTCTGCATTGCTGAGTTTCCAGGGTGGAGGGTTGGTGGGCAGTGAGGGACGGGAGGAGCAGGGAGACCCCTACGTCTTCTGAAGGCGAGAAATGTTGGGTAAACAATGTGAAACTTGGAATAGGAGGATTGTTATGAGTGTATTCTGTCACACCCAAGCAATCCCATTGAAATTGGTTGCTTTTTACGTTTATCAGACTGAACAAATTAGAGGATTTCCGCAAGTTTGTTCTTCAAAAGTTGAGCAGCCTTGAGAAAGATATTCTGGCTCTGGAACACCTTGAGAAGGATGTTCTGGTGAGTTCTTTTCATTGAGAATGTTCGTCATTTGAGAGGACCTTTTTAAGAGAAGAATCAGTGTTAACTAAAACAAAGCTTTTGTCTCCTTTTAGGAATTTTGGGAAAAACAGTCTGATGATCTGAGATCTTTCTGTGATATGCAAGTGCTAAGGTATTTTTTTAAGATGTGTTTTTAAGAATTTTGGTTGCTGTATGAGGTGGTGTGTTTGCCACAGTACGTGCAGACGGTGTGGGTGGACTCGTGAGGTATCTGGACAGCCCACCTTTTCAGAGTGGCCACTTCCAGGACACTTCCCCGAGCACCGAGTATGGCAGATGACAGCAGTCACGGAGAGTGAATTTTGCAAAGTGTAATAGAATTATCTGAATTTCTTTGTTTTTGACATGAATATAGTTTTACTTCAGATAGCATTTTAAAAATCAAATGATATTTTGAGAAAAGTAGTTTTCTACTTAAATAATGGATTTACTGTAATATGTATTGTGTCTTCTTGCTAGACTATTTCTTATATTTTGAGTATAATGTGATTGTATATGTGCTAAATGAATTTTTTAAAAAAACAACAAATGTGCTTTCCCTGATACATGTTCTTCCCAGTGGAATTAGTACATCTTGAAGCTGCTGCTACTCCACATTTGGAAAATCATTTTGTCTTCTTGGGGGTAAAGGAAAGGAGAATGGAGAGGCAGGTCTTTTGCTCTTCTACATTTGGGAACAATTCTAGTGTTTTTGTCCTACTTGAGGAATCAGAAGGGACCTCTGTCCAAAAATGTAATGGCTAAAGTTTTACCTACCATTTGAGATCAGCTTCTTTCATAGAAATCCAAGACTGACACTTCAAGGACAGATAATATTCTGTTCATGCTGTATATTTCAATGCAAAATTATCCTTTTAGAATTCATTATCCACGCCAGGCGCAGTTGTGCACACCTGTAATCCTAGTACTTGGGAAGTGGAGGCAGGTAGATCATGAGTTCAGTGCCAGCTGAATACACAGCAAGATGCTGTCTCAAAACAAAGCAATGAAACAAAAATGAACTTTTTGCTTATCCTACTGTTTAAGCCAACTAACACAGCGACAGTGACCAGAAGTCCCAGTATCCAAATGCTTGCACACACATCTCTCACTGTGTAGCACCTTACCTGGTCACGGTCATAGTCATTTAGAGCTGTCGTAATGAACGGCCGTGGTTGGTTATGGGTCATCCTTGAACAACTCGGAGTCAGGCTCTTTACACACCGTCTGTTGAGGGTTCCCAAAGAGCGTTTGCTTATGAGGGTTACATCTGTCAATATTTTCTGTATTATGATTTAGTATATGTATATACACACTTTAAAAGTAATACACTTTTACATATTGAGATGAATTTTCATGAAAATGCTAGAGACTTAAAAACAGTATGTGGAGGAGTAGCACTGTTATGTTTGCAGATCTTTAATATCTGGCCTAATTAACAGAGGACTACTGGATTCTCACACCTGCGTTTGAATGTAATTAATAGTGAATGACGTTGCCTCTAGGAAATTCTACTGTATACTTGTGACAGAATAAGAATTAAGAGATGGAAGAACTTCTTAATATTATCCCCATTGATATCAAAACAGTTTTGACCTCACAGAACTTTTGGTTACTTAGGGGGTCCTTGGGCAATGCTTTGAGAGCTGCTATTACAAAGCTATATTGCATTAAAGAAGAGGCTATCCCCTCAGCTACGTTTATTTTAACTAAATCCCAAATTGCAGGCAACTGAGCGTTCCATTAATGTTGTTAGATACTAGTTACTATTTGCATTCATCTCTCTTTGATAACAGTGCCTCTGGGTGAATTTAGAATATTTCTATATCACCTCTTCTAAATATGCTTTCCTAGGATTTTGCTTTTATTCTCTTCCAACGACCTAAGAAAACAGCTCTTGGAGTTGCAGACAGGGAGTAATTACGACTCTTTTAGCTCTCAGTTGCAGCTTACTGGGTACCAGGCCCTGTGAGAGGTGGAGAGGTTCATTAGCTCAGTGAAGATCACACAAGTCACCAGTATCTGTCTTTTGTTATGCTCTCATCTCAGGGATGGACTTACATGATTTTCTAGGGAAACAAAAGATCATCCTCTAATTTAGAGCCACAAGGGGGTGGGACTTGGTGCTTTGAATGATGGTCTTAAAATACGTCCTTTGTGGGCTGGTAGAATTGACAGAGACAAGGACTAAGAATCAGATAACTCAAGTTGGCATTGACCTTCCTTATTCATTCTCAAGTAATGGAATGATCTGGGGAAAACTGTGATATATCTATGTTTGTAGATGCATGGTCTTGTTTTTAAAATGCCTCGTGGGAGTATAATAAAAAGAGATGAATCCATTTCTTCCAGGCTTAATCCAATTCAGCCTTCCTAAGGAGAGTCAAAGCCTGGTTTTGCTGTTGCATCATTCAGGTAGGTACCAAGATTTACACTGTTCATTGGATGTGAACTTTGGTGGAAGGAAACAAGCACCAAAAATGCTCAATGACTTCATGACAGCAGTGTGTAAAGTAGGAGATTTAAACACTGCAGCTAGATCTCTATATTTGGTCATTAGATGTTATGATGGTATAATGTTGCCAGTTAGAGAAAAAGAGGACTTGGAGAGGGAGTGTATGTAGGTCGAAGAAAAAAGTTTATTTGCTAACATTTTAACTTTCAGATCACCCACGTTTTTATAAGACCTTGGAGAAAGACACAGTTTTCCAGGAAAATACAATGTAACAAAATGGATGGGAAACTTTAACCAGATAATTGTTCATAAAAGAAATATAACAAGTTGTCAAGCTGCTTGCATGTATGTGGTCCAGACTGTCACATAGGAAGTTTCTTGTCTTTGGAAGAAGGATAATTCTGGTGCTGTTGTTCAAGAATAAAAATTTTCTAATTCTTTTTTGAACCCTGCATTTACATACCAAAACCCAACAAAAGTTACAGAAGCATAGAACAATGTCACTTGAAATAAGTCAAAATCTAAGACACTGGTGAGTAGAATTTAGTAATTTATTAAAGGAATAAAAGGATGGTTTGATGGTAGGATAAAAATATTTTCAGAGATAATATGGGTACATATTTATGGCATACATTATGGAATTCAATACACATATAAGTAATAATGATCAAATCTGATTAATAAGCATTGCTGTTTCAAATGTTAATAATTTGTATATGCTGGGAGTTTCATATTTTTTCTAAACATTCAAAATGTATCACAGATTGTTTTAACTAGCAATTATCCTGTTGTGCAACAAAAAACCAGAACTAATTTCTATTCTGTTTGGTCCCTGTCTTGATTACTTTTCTGTCCCTGGCCCCTCAAAGATTCATGCACATGCCTTTATGCAAACAGCATTTAGTCCAACGATCAGAGTTGCCAAAGTCCCAACAGTTTCAGCATTGCTGAAAAGTGCAAGTTCTAAGTCTCCTGTGAAATGTAAGGCAAGCCTTAGCTCTGAGCCTTTGTACAAGTGGAAAGTTAAACACTTCCAACATTCAATGGCACAAAGTAGGTATTTCCATTCCAAATGTTATAAACAGGAAAATAAAAAGGATTGGGACCAAAACAAGTCCAAAATCCAGCAGGCAAACATTAAGTCCTGTAGTTCCATGTGCAACAGCCAAAGCTATCCATGGCAAGTTGTGAGGTTTTGCTTACCTCTGCTCCTGTGGCACTCCTGATAGTTATAGCTCTCATGGCTTTTCTCCTGGGCCTGCTCTGCTCCCTCCTTGAAGTTTTCCTCAGATGATCTATGCTCCAAACTTCTGAGGCCTCCAATGCACTTTGGCTTTATACTCACAGCTTCATACTGCCTGATCTCCTAGACCATCTGAAGTCTGAGAGAAGCCTTTTAAACTTCAGAACTCTTGCATTCTGTATGTGCCTAAATCCAACACCCCACAGATAATGCCAACGTCTGTTGACAGCTGGTGCAGTAGTGGTCAAGTACTGGTCTCTGGGCCATAGTGGTCAAGTGCCTGGATCACTGAGCCCTCTGAATCCATTCTGATGAAGAAATTCTCTGTGACACTACCATTTTGGAACATGGTGCTCTCGACTTTGTTCTCAAAGCAAAGCCTTCCACCTTTGTAGTTTTGAGGCTGCAAAGGGTGGACACTTGCAGCTTCTTGTGATGTCCTCAGGCCATCTTTTGTATTCTTCGGCTCCTTCTCAGCAATTGAGATCTCAGTTCTATCTCTGTCATTCACAGCTTTACTGGAGCTTCATTTCTGGTCAAACTCACAACATTTTAAATCATTCTTCTGGGCTCTTTGCTCTTAATTTTCAATGTAAATCTGGCTAAAAGCCTCCAATAAATAGCTATGCCACCACTTCAACATTCAACTGCCTTGAAGTTTCTTCTGCCAGTTTAGTAAGTCCATTGCCCTTAATCTCAGCCTCAGGCTAAGACTCTGAACAATAGCAAAATACAGACAAACTTTCTGTTAAGTCATAACACACATGACCTGGAGTCCAACACCCAATGCAGGCCTTCTTCCCAGCAAAAGTCTCCTGAGCCTGGTCCTTACTGGCAAGATTTCTATCAATCCTCTGGTCTTCTAATCTCTGACCAGAATCTCCCATACAGAACAGCCAAAAGTGTCCCAGCACTACTCTTTCAGGCAACATCTTTGAACCTTCCCAAAAGCTTTTGAACCACATAGTCAAGTGTAGTCACAGCAGTGACCCCACTTCTGGTACCAAATTCTGTATTAGCTGCTTTTCTTTTGTTGCTGAGACAAAATACCTGATGCCCAAAATTAAAGGAGGAAAGGTTTATTTAATTCAGTTTGTTGAGGTTTCAGTCCATACTCAGCTGGTTGCAAGACAGCATGGCATGGCAGAGGGGCAGCACTTCATAGCAGAGGAAGGCAGAAAGGAAACAAGAGCAAAAAAGGGGGGGGGAGAATAAATCTTTCCCTCCTTTACATTGTATGCAAGTTACCCACCTCAGGGTGCACATCTATAATCCCAGCACAAAGACCATGGATCAGTCACAAACTCTAGAAGCCCACCCCATGATTGCATGAGGCTTTGGAGCGATGTATAGACATGAACCACAACAGTCCACTTTATTTAATTGCTTTCCTTCCTTCCTTTTCCCCTCACCACATTGTCCTCCTCAGTCTTTCATGAAGACTATTCTGTTCTAGTTTCCATAAGTGAGTGAGAACGTGTAGTGTTTGTCTTTCTGTGTCTAACATAATTTTACTTAATGATTTCCGGTTCCATCCATGTTGTTGCAAATGGGTAGATTTCAATCTTTTTAATAGGCAAATAATATTCTATCTTATTTGTATGTCTGTGTGTATGCTGTCTTCATCATCTATCATGCATGGCTAGATCAATTTCATCTTTTAGCTATTGCAAATAGTGCTTCCCTGAGCATGACAGTGCAGATATCCTCTTAGTATAATGATTTTATCTCTGGAACACACCCAGTCCTGAGATTCTCAGATCATATGATAGTACTAGTTTTGGCTGTGTACCTGGAGCTGCAGGATGCAAGCCTTCCCCAGTACCCATGGGATAAGCACAGGGAAACTGAGAGGCCTCCCGTATCCCACAGGGCAAGTTTGGGTGGGACTTGGGATTGGTGGCTCTGGCAGACTAGTTTGGGAGCTTCAGGACCTTGAGGGCACTGCCCCTCTGCCTTATGAGGTGCACACAGGTCCAAGGCTTTTGGTGGTGGCAGGGAGCCAGCTGGTGACCCCTAGGCAGGGTGCTGACTAGTGATGGCTTGTAAGGGGTTAAGAAAAACCCAGCACAAGAGCAGAGCACTTGCTCTTAGATCAGTGAGCTTCCCAGCCTGGGAGAGAGCCTGAGAGTACTGTGGGATGCCACATTTTGGACACCTTTCTGCTGGGGTCACCCAGCACCTCTACACCCACTCTCCTGGGTGTCCAGGGTTGAAGCTGAAATTTGCTTTGTTTTTTTCTCTACATGCTTTTCTACCTCTAGGTGCTGTTTAGAATTCCCATCAGTTTTTGGCTGATTTTCAGAGTCACCCTTATTTACTATGCTCAAAATACAGTTCTGCTTCATTACCCTGCATCTTCTCTGTGATGTGTCCCACGTAGCAAATCTGGGTTCAGCTCTCTTGGATCTACCTTGATCAATATCTCAGTTACTAATTAATGTAGGTAGCAAAAATCATTGATTGCTATTATATATTTCAAAAATATTGTTTAAAAAGTCTTCTGTTTTAGGATTTTTATAAAGCTGATAGCAGTAACTAAATATTCTGTAATATGATAAATTTAGTCCAAAAACTAATATTGTCTAACAGAAACTGCTCAGTGTAACTGAAGTCTAGGAGTTATCAGTGGAAGTCTTGGCAACCTAAAAATGCTAATCCTCCCTAAACTAATGAAGGAATTCCGACCACCACTCTCAAAGATTCAAGTTTTTTCTTATAGCGGACTAGCTGATTCTACTGTATAAGTAGAAGCCAAGAGGGGAAATCATTTAACATGTTATTTCAAAAAGTTAGCAAAAAGATGAGCACACAGAAGTCCAAAGCCACTAGAAGTGAGTACTAAGTTTAAAATCCAAAACCAAGACAACCATAGAGAGAATTTGTAAAACCCAAACCTGGTTCATTGAAAAGATTGATGTAGAATACAGACTTCTCCTCAGAGTGATCAAGAAAATATGACAGAAAAGACACAGGTGAAATTTAGGAATAAAGTTATGAATAACATGCTCCCAAAGATCTGAAATATCACAAAACCTTATTGGGAAAAACAGGTTGTCAGTAAATTTGAAAATTCCCAAAACCTAATAATGTCTAAAAATCCATTCTTAACATCAGATCTTGATGTCTTTCATGTAAGCTTTATCCAATTTAAAAGAAATATGTAACCTTTATAGAGTCCAAGACAGCAAAGAAACATCCCCAACTGATTATAGGAAATGTCCATAATTTTGAACCAAAAATAGGACAAAGATAATCATGAAAGGAAAATTATATATCATTTTCACAAATTAACATACAGAAATGCTAGACAGTGAATCTTAGCGGTATTGTGCTTTGAAAAGGTAACTAAAGAACAAAATCAGTTAAAATAAGCATGTATAATGCATAGAAAGATGATTTAACATTTTAAAAACCTATTTCACTAATAGTCACTAAAGTATTCCAGTAGATTCAGAAAAAGCATGATTAACAATAACACCATTTTGTAATTAAAACAACTAATCAACAATAAAACTCTAGGAACATTGAAAATGGAAAGGATATAGTGTCTCCAGATATCTGCAGGCTACACTGAACTTAGTGGGGGAAAAATAACATTTAAAAATCATTAACAGGACAAGATTTCTGTTCTTCCTATTTCAGCCTGGTGCTGAATCTAATACTGGCTGCTAGGATTATTTCCAAAAGAGAAAAATATTTCCAAAAGATGAGAAGTATAAAATAAAAAGCGGCCTTTATTCTGAGAACACGGAGAGAGATGACCAGCACCCCCACCGCTGGCGTCCGGCGATCTCTCCGGTGGACACGTGGCATGGGGGGCATGTAAATAGCCTCAGTTTGCGGTGGAACCTAAGGTGGGCATTAGGGATGCACAGGTAGCCCATTGGTCCTAGGTTTGGCACCATATGTAAATTTCCAGGGGCGGGAAGATGGCGTCACAGGTAACTTTCTAGGGGCAGGGGAGATTGGGGCGTCCTGCTTCCAGTTGAGGCTTTCCTGGCTACAGTGTCCTATCTGGGCCCAAACCCTTTCATATCCTGTCTTATGATTATTATTATGAAAAGGGGTGAAGATTTCTCTCTTTAACTACTTCCTGCTGGCAGAGGGCGCTGTACTGGAGCTTAGGGGAGTCGATGGGATGAAGGTTGATGCCCAGGTAGACGCTGGTGCCAGGTTGAACACATTTACTTTTAAGGTTGTTATTTGCAGTAGTATGAACCAAGACAAATAAAATAAAACTTTGAAGAAAACCCTTGTCTTGAAATAGAGCTAGTGGTTCCCAGCAAAAAGGAATTTATAACCTTAGTTGTTAAACAGGAGATTGGTGAAGGCTTTGATTGATAAACAAGGCTGGTAAAATTATCAGCCAATAACCTTGATTAAAGTGGCCAATAACCTTGATTAAATGGTTTGAGAATTGTAATAAAAAAATAGCATCTCTTGAGCGGAGCCAAATTGTAAAAAGAGCATGCCTGAGCGGAGCCACTGAGCTGCTGTTTCTCGGCATACTGGCAGAGCATGCCCAGCGTGGGGGTGGGGCAAGTGCTGGGACGTAGCGTGCAGGGGTGGGCTGGGACTGCCCCCGGAAACGCGTAAGGTGGCAGGGGCGGCGACAACGACGGCGCACGGGGGAGGGAGGACCTGGGAGGCGGCCCAACGCAGTGCATGAAGCTGGAACTGCTCGTGGGGCATGAGGGTTAGAAAGCCAATTTAGGAACACAGCTGGGTTTTTATTAGCCTCCTGGACCTGTTTTAAAAGTTTGTTATAGTTAGTATGCTTGTCCTGCTCTCGCACAGCTATAGGCCCAGGGTCATTATCAGCAGTGTTTACCTTATGTCTGTGATCAGCTTCTTTTTGAGCTGCTTGCCACAGCTGATTCCGTTCTTCTGAGCTGAGAGTGGTATTCAGAATCACATAAACGTCCTTAAAATGTAAATCATAACAATTAGTAATAAATTTAAATTGCCTGATACAATTCTGTGGGTCAACAGAGAGATTACTTAATTTAAGGGTAATCTGAGATAGAAAGGGAAAAAGGCACATGGATGTTAACAAGCCCCTCGGGGCCAGCTTGCTCCCAAAGCGGTAGCAGAGCCTGAGAAGAAGATTCCGGAGCAGAGGGCCATTGGGCAGCCATCCGTCCAGTAGGCGCATGTGAGCAATCATCTGTAGAGGGCCTACAGAGCTGCTGCTGGTCACCCTGGGAAACACAGGCAGATGGCGTCTCACTGTGTGCCTTGCAGTGAGAGGACTGCTGTCGGCAGCACAATGAAGCATCATGTGCACCGCAACAGGGCGGCTGTTGCAGTTCACAAGAGGAGCCACAAGGGGGCGCCAGTTGGCAGTGAGGGTCCTGGGAATATGGTGGCACCCTGTCGCCATGTGAGCCTCCTGAACATGGCGGTACCATGCCACATGGCAGAGGGTTGCAACATGGCGACTGTTCCTGGTGCAAGCTGGAACAATCACGCAGCCTGCTGGAAGGACATAGTGACTGAGACCTAGTATGGTGGGCGGGCGGTGAGAATGCTGTAGGGGATAGAGAATTCTCAGGAGAAGTCGGAGACTTCGAGGAAGCGCTAACAGAGGGATTAGAGCTGCTGAGAGAATCAGGCATAGGGGGAAGGGAGAGTGGTCCGGCGGGAGGTAACAACAGGGAATGAGTTTGGTGGTAGGCAGGCGGCGGCCATGAAAACACCGGAGGGCAGGTGGAAAAGTTTTCGGCGCAGTAGATTTAGCTAAAAGTATCTGAGTGGGAGCACAAGACTTAATGAGAGATGGGCGTGTTCTCAGAATAAGAAAGGCCTGAATATAAGGGAGTTCTAATAACTTGTTGCCAGCTTGACAAAAATCATACAAGTTCCTGAGAATGCAGGTTCCTTCTTTGGGCCAACGCTTGCCGATAAGCAGGTAGGTTGGCCAGACTTTCTGGCAGTAAAAAGTTAATTGTTTAGTTTTTATGGTACTTTTAATTTTTAGAGTACGTAAATTGGAAATTAGGTATTGTAAAGGTGTCTTTTGGGAGTTAGAAAATATGTTCCCCATGACTGATTCAGGCAAGAAAAAAGCCGGAGGTCCAGAACAAGCCGTCACTTGTTTGTGGCACCACGCGGCAGCTACGGTTCCAAAAACTTGTATATTCCAGTCGTCACTGAGAGATTTACAAGTGGAGCCCACGTGGGGTCAGTAACAGTTTTGCCCGTGAAAGCGCAAGGCTTTAAGGGAAGTGAGGTGTTCTTTCAGTGTGGGTGGTCCCAAAAATTTCTGCTTTGGGCCATCCGAATCCAAAGAACGTGAGAGATTTTGTGGACACAGGTTTGCCCAGAAAGAACCCTGCCCTGGGCGGTCCTAAGGACGTGAAAATGCACAGACCCACGTGAACAGGGAGAACAGTCAACTGGGGCTGCCCAGTGCCAAAAGTTCCCCGGGGAGTGCTCACCTGAAATCAGTCTGGCCGATGCTGAGTGCAGGCAGCTGGTGACAGGGACATCTCAGGAGAGGAAAAAGCTCGGGATTAATCCAGGATGTTATCTGGTTATCGGCTAGGGGACTCAACCGGGTGTGTCCCAGGAGTCAGTCACCTGCCGATCGAGACATGGCACCAAATGCTAGGATTATTTCCAAAAGATAAAAAATATTTCCAAAAGATGAGAAGTATAAAATAAAAAGCAGCCTTTATTCTGAGAACACGGAGAGAGATGACCGGCACCCCCACCGCTGGCGTCTGGTGACCTCTCCAGTGGACACGTGGCGTGGGGGCATGTAAATAGCCTCGGTTTGGGGTGGAACCTAAGGCGGGCATTAGGGATGTACTGGCAGCCCATTGGTCCTAGGTTTGGCGCCATATGTAAGTTTCCAGGGGCGGGAAGATGGCATCACAGGTAACTTCCTAGGGGCGGGGGAGATTGGGGCTTCCTGCTTCCAGTTGAGGCTTTCCTGGCTACAGTGTTCTATCTGGGCCAAAACCCTTTCCTGGCCTCCCCTAATGTTCTTTTGAGGTTTGTGATATTAACTTAATCTGCTTCCACGCATGATTTGCCTACAGCAAGATTCTGCTCAGATGCAGCCATAGAGAAAGTTGAGGGTTTGGCTGCATCTGAGAATATGTTTTTGCAGGAATCCAGAGGGAACCTAGGCACAAGAAGTGAGGTCTGCTCAGGAGCTGGGAGAATAATGCTTAGTTCATTGTCATAAGGAAGTCAATGGACTGAGGTCTTAGTGTGGGGGTAAAGGCTGTGCAGGGAGCCAGGAGAGCAGGGCACTTGGAAAGGGAAGGGAGTTGTGGGGAGAAAGGGGTGCTGAGAATTGGGAAGTCTGTGGTCGTGACCTGGTTTGGAAACGCAAGCTGTGTTGGAGAAAACGGGATGGAGGAGCTGAGGCAAGGACCGAGACCCCAGAGTGTGGCCATGGATGCTTTGGGACAATGTGGGCATTATTGCGAATGCTAATAGGAAATGGGACAGGCGGGTGGTGGCTGTCTCGGGGAAGTGTCCGTGGAAGACGGAGCATGTGGCAGTGGGGAGCAAGGAGACTGCTACCCACCCACCTGGCTGGGAAGTGTAGGCTGACAAGTCCTTATCTGCCATGCTTGGGGCCAGAAGTGCTGCAGGTTTTAGTGTTTAGATCTTTGGAATGTTTACCTGAGCTTTACTGATTGAGCATCACTAATCCCAAAACCCCAAATTTGAATTGGTATAAAAATAAAGCTTCATGCTAACCTGGAGTGGCAGAGGATGGGCACTGAGGTAGGGTGTGCAGGGAGATGGCAGCCTCAGAAGTAGCCTTGTTTTAGTTAAAAGGAGGCGGCAAGATTGTTTTCTCCTAGAAGAGGCTGAAGCTGTTTCTCTGTGCTGACAGCCTGAGTTTTAGGAGTGGGAGTGAACGGCCGTGGGAGACGGGAAGGGTGATAGACGGGATATGTATGCAAAGCACCGAGTCACACGTGAATTAAATTTCCAGACAATCATGTGGGGGCTCATGGGGTAAACAAACGTGGAAGGCACAGCCAGTCTGTTTTGGGGAGGTCTCTTTAAGGACAGCAGCACTCCTGCCCATTGGGATTCTTTGAATATTACTTTGTTGATTCCCACAGCAGTTAACAATGGGGTTTTTCAGTTTAGCAGCCTGGAGCTTTCCTGCAGTTTATAAAATCTGAGCTGGGTTTCCTAAGTAGGCCATATGCAAATCCGACTTTATAAGAGTGCACTTCCGTTGGCCTTATATAGAGTATACGAATTATTTCTAAAAAGTGTCTTGTTTTATTTTAACTTGAAAGTAAATGAACTAGATAACTATTGCATTTTTTTTAAAATCTCATCAGTGTTCAGAATTATACTTTGTGGTTTTTTTTTTTTTTTGACCTAATGTTCCCACTTCCAGGAATACTATTTTCAAGGTGGAATTGGACACAGGTCAAGGTACTGATACTGACACGTATTACATACAAATCTGATTGGAATAGGGAGACAGCAGAGTCCTGATGTCCAGCTGTGTCGCTTAACCCCTAAAAACAATGACTTTGGCCAGGTAAACTTTCCTGGGAAGAAATTTGCGATCAAAAGTAAAAACTTACTTTACAAAGCAGCATACGAAATATGATCCCATTTGTGGAAACGTACATGTCTTGTATGAGGATTCATTTGGTCTTGCACCCAAACTATTGAGTCTGTTAGGTGTCGGCCGTGGTTACACCTTTACATCTGCAGGTGGCGGGTTCTTCTTTGCAGGACCTGAAATGCACAGATGAGCAAGTTTCATGTAAAGTGTTGGCATGTAGTGTTTACATTTGACTTACGTAGCTGATGCCATCAGCTTCAAATCGCCTTGTAGATGTTATATAAGTGTAGAGACACTGTAAACAATGGTCATACAGTATTGTTTAGGAACTGTGTCAGGGAAAAACATCTCTGCATGTCTGAATATTACTTTGTTGATTCCCACAGCAATGTAATTTTTTCCTATTTTCAACCAGTGGATGATTGAACCTGCGGATGCAGGGATCTTGGCTAAGGAGGGCCAGCGCTGTCTCTTAGGTGCTGGGATGGGTTTTGTGCCCATGTGGCCCCTGACCACATGCAGCCACACTACCAGGTGATGCACAGTAAGCAGGGTAAATGGATGAGAATTGATAAGAGTGCCGAGGGATGGAGAAGGAAAAAATCCGTGCTGAACGACTCGTGGTGTAGAGGAAGGCAAGTAAAACTCGAAGAAGCAACTTTGGATCCAAAGCCCACAGTCAGATGGAACCAGCAGTGGGGGGAGGCTGGAGAAGGGCGCTGGGGGCAGGGGCTGTGTGGGCACCCTCGGCCACACGTGCCTGGGCTGTGCTAGGTACACAGTGAGGGTCCAGCCGAGGAGTGAGGCTGCAGATGGCCGAGATGAAGCAGAATGGTCCCACGGGCCAAGGTGCTGAGTTGGGTTTTATTCCAGTTGCCCTGAACAGGATGTGTGTTGGGGTGGGAATTGATGCCACCATTAGTGTGGAAGGACCTGGAGGGCTTGCTCATGGGGTTGGAGGTGGCAGACGGGATGAAAGACACCTTTTTGAACAACTGGCTGGGAAGTTTTTGTGTTATTTAAGCAGGTGGGGAGGATTGGTGGGAGAGAATGAGGGCAGACATGGAATTTGGGTTTGGCACATACGTTCTGTGTGATTTCAGCATCTAAATGGAGCTGGCACGTGGGTAACTGGCTGTTTGAGCTGGGGCTGGGCCCAGGACCAGATTCCTGGTCCCTCCAAGATGAAATTAGGTGGGGGATTAAAGCCAGCAAAGGACAGTGACAAGGAGTGACCAGTAGGGTGGGGACGTAAGGAGCAAAGAGGTGGCGTGTATAGACACATGTGCCAATGTAGTGAGATGTCACCTGAGGGTATTCCTGTGCTATTTGGCTGAATTTACCGTCTTAGCTGATTCTGCACAGCGAGATGCAAATTCCTTCAGAGTCATGAACTCCACGCAGAAGTTAATGAAGAGTGAAGTTTCCTCTCCCCGTCCTCCTTATGCATGACACAGAGATGACGGTCTTTGTGTACTTGACATATTTTATTTTCTTCCAGGCATTTTTGATGGATGGAACCTGGGGCCTTTGCACTGAGCTACATCTCCAGCCATTCTTTATTTTATAGTTTGAGACTGGGTCTTGCTAAGTCCCTAAATTACTTCGGCTGTGCTCAAACTTGTGATTTTCCAGCCTCAGCTTCCCAGAGTCCTGGGAATACAGGCATTCACAGCCATACCTGGCAGCTTCCAGGTGTGTGTTCTGATGCTTTCGGAAGAACGTATATAAATATTTATGCACCTGTCGTATGCAGAGATGTTTTTAAGTAACACACTAATACACTAAATGTATATTCTTTGTGGACTCAGTAGTGAAAGTAGAATTCCTTTCCAAGTCAGCAATATAAATTTATTTTAATAAGTGTGCAGTATTCTAGTTTGTGGAAATACTGTGACTTACTGTGCATTTCCTAACAATGAACATTTAGGTCATTTAAACATTATCAAAGAGATAAACCTACAATGAATATCCTTGTGTGTGTATCTTGAATTACATTATGAAGAAAAAAGTTATTATTGTCTTTTGAGGAAACGGCAATGATAACAAATCTCCAAGTCATAAAAGGACTAAAAGGGGAGATAGAAATCCCAGCACTTTGGAGGCTGGGGTGGGAGGATTGCTGTGAGTTAAAGGCCAGCCTGGGCTACAGTGAGTTCAAAACCAGCCTGAACTACATAACATGATCTTGTCTCAAAAAAAAAAGGTGAAAAACCTAATCTGAGCTAAGAACATTGGAGTAATTCCAAGCTTTAGGGGCGAACTGGCTCAAATGTGAATTAGGTGTACGTGCCGCATGCAGTCACATGTACAGAGATCGGCTGCAGCAGCTAAACCAAACAGGAATCTTGTTTTTCTCCTGTAAAAAGCGGCTCAGAGCGAGGTAATCCACGCCAGCGGACGGCAGCTTTAGGTGGTCACTGGGGACCTCGGTTCCTTTAGCTTTCTGCGCTGCCGTTCTCCATACAGTGTTGGGTTCTGTAGTCACAGAAGACTGCTCTCCTCCTCTTCAGCTAGCAGGAAGGGGCTGAGTAAAAGGTGGCAGCACCCTGGCCCCTCTTAGCATTAGGTAAACCATTTTCTTGGGAGCCCAAGCCAGTAGATTTTTGTCACTGTCTCGCTGGCCAGAAATGGATCGACGAGCCCACCCTAAGGCAAGGAGTCCGGGGAGGTGGAAATTTAAGCCCAGCACCTCCCGTGCTTCTAAAAGATGGGGTCCTGCTCAGAGAGAGTTGGGGGAGAACAGGTGTTTGGTGGGGAAGTGTAACGCCTGCCATTCCTGAGTTAAATCACACAGGAGCACTAAGCATTGGGGAAGGACACTGAGAAGGTGACTCTGCTGGCCCTCACGGGGGGCTTGCATTGGGGGTTGGTTCCCTCTTAGGGCTCTGCCCCTCCATTGGCAGCAGACCTCACCTACCTTTGCTTACAAGCATCTAATTGGGCTGAATCCTAATCTGGTTATTAACAATGTGTACCTTAAAAATCCAGAGTTTAATGTATTTTATTAGTGTGCATTTATAGAACATGACCACATTCCCATGGGGGATCTGTACCTGTACCCAGAACACCTTAATTCTTCCTTTTTTCCCCCTTCCCTTCCCTGCAACCTTTCCTTCCCTTCTCATTTACAAAAGCTCCATTTATTTTTTTTAATTAAAAAAATTATTTTTAGTGCCAGGGATTTGAACTCATGACCTCATTCTTGCCAGGCAGGCATTTACACCACTGAGCTAAATCAGGCCCCCCAAAAGCTCTGTTTCTATTTCTCCCTTAAATTCCTTTTTCCTTCCTTCCCTCCCCACTCTCCCGTTCTTATTCACCTTCCCATTTAAAAATCTGTTCTGTTTCCTAATATCTGTCTTCTGTGTTATTCCTTATTTAGGATTTTTCACATGAGAGAAACAATGTGATACTTAAATTTGTGTGTCTGATTTATTTCATTAAGATCATGGTCTCAAGGTGCATTCATTTACTTAAAATGCCTCAAGTTTATTCCTTTGGGCAAAGTAGCACTCTGTTGTCTTACACGTTCATCTGCTAATGGGCAGACAAGGCTACTTCCAAGATTCAGCTGTTATGAATTATGCTGCTATAATCATGGGTATGCATCGATCCTTGTGTTACGTTGACTTTATTTCTTTTGAGTTGATACCTAGAAGGGGAATAGCTGGATCAAATAGAACCTCTAGTTTTTGGAGGAATCTCCACACTAATTTCCACAGTAGTTTACCAGTTTATACTCCCATCAACAATGGAGGAGAATTCCTTCTTATCCTGCAGTCTCAACAGCACTTGTTATTAGTTGATTTCTTGATGGCCATTCCTTCTGAAGTGAGCTGGAATTTTGGTGTTTGTATTTCCTGTGTGGCCAGCCACATTGAATATTTTTCATGCACTTATTGGCTGCTTGTACTCCATCTGAGAAGTGTCTGTTCATTTTAGATGCTCATTTTTTGATTGGGTCTTTAAATTTCTGGGTCTAATTATGGGTCTAATTTTTGTGTTCTTTATATATGTTATTTATTACTCCTTTCTAAGAAGTAGCTGGCAAAATTTTATCCTGTTCTGTAAGCTGTCTCTTCAGTCTGTTGGCAGTGTCCTTTGCTGTACAAAAGCTTTTTAATTCAGTGTCATCCCATTTGATACACTGGTAATATTTCTTGTGCAACTGGGGTTTCATTTATCGTCTTTGCCTACTCCTATGTCTTCAAGAGTTTTATCTATTCTGTGTTCTAGAAGATTAAGTGTTTCTGTTTTAATATTTAGCTCTTTGGTCTATTTTGGTTTCAGGTTAGTGCGTGGTGAGAGATGGATCCAGGTTCAGTCTTCAGCATGTGGATAGCCAGTTTTCCCAGGACTATTTGTTAAAGAGAATGTCTTTGCTCCAGTGAAAGTGCTTGGCTCCTTTGCCAAAGACAAGGTAGCTGAGTGTGTCTGCAATGGTCTCTGCATCCTTTGTGTTCCACTGATCCACGAGTCTGTTTTTTACCAATACCAACAGTGTATAATTTTTATACAGCACGGGCCTTGGAGCCAGATGGACTATAACCAGAAAAGGGAGCTGCCTTTTCTCCAATACCAGAAGAAAAAAACATGAGACATCACACATGGCTTCCAAGTGGCACATGATTGAGCCTCCTGCAGATAAGTTTGACTCCAGGGCAGTCCTCCCCAAGGGCACTGACTTTAGCTCCCAGCAACCATGTAGGCTCCAAGTTCACTGATAGCTCAGTTAACGATGGAGCTGACATTTGTATTGGCTCGTTGGGTTCTGAGGCACCGAGAGGCAATAGTTCAGCTTGATGATAGCTCTTCTCCTCCTCCACCACCGGTCTGAATCACCAGAAGAAGAAACAGCGATGGAAGGATTACCACTGGCTTGGGCTGCAGGAGCCTTGCTGTGAACTTGGTGTTTGTTCAAGTTTGTTTCACTCGCCAATTAAGGGGAAATTTCTTTAAACAATCCCTGGGAACTGCTGAGTTGAAATCAAGTAGAATGTGTTGGTAGTTCATTGTGGTGTTATTATCCATTTTTCACAGAAGTTAAGCTTCGTATGAAAATTTGGGCAGACCATAGAATGACCAAGATGTTCATCAACTTCAAATGATGTTGCTTTTTCTCACAATTTTAAAAAGGAACATTGATCTTTGAGTTTGGTGGAGCCCAAAA